AAAAGTAAAATTGTAAATAGTTACTACTGCAAATATGTATATAAATTATTAGAGCGTTCTTCATTATTTTTATTTCATGTTTATTTTCAATTTTTCGTTTTTTATTTTTAACTGATCTAAATTAGTAAGTAACTTATAATTTTTTCTATTATTTTTTTTTTTATTTTGACTATTTAATTACTGTATATTTTCGTTTATGTATCTCTAAGGCTCCTTAGCCCATATTATTGTCTTTTTATATTATTCTAAAGGGACTTGTCCCAGAATAAATAAAGCAATGTTATTATTATTATTATAAAGGTAAAAAAGGAACTATATATACTTACTTACTCATATTGGCACACAGAGAGACAAAAAGTATAAAATATAAACATATATACATGAAAGAAAAAGCACAACCTGAGGTGAAGAGAAATACAAATAAATAGTAAAAATAATAGTAAAAAAATCATTGCTGTTTTATGTTAAAACTTAAACTGTAGGCATCACCATTTACTTCTCACAAATTCAGTTCATAAAATGAAATTTATGGTTGCGAATCGTCTGTTTGGGATGTGAAGAGATATTGGAAAAGGAGGTATTTGAAGGTTGAAAGTGAAGAGGCATGACGGATGTTATGTGGCAAAGAATTCCAGTAGGTGACGGAGCGGGCTAAGAAGGAACGTTCATAGGTCTTGTGTAATGGAATATAGAGGTCAGAATTACGGGATCTCGTTTTTATTGAGTGGACTAAAGGTTTCGGCTGGAGGAGACAGTAGATAAAGGAAGGGTGCTGGGAGTTGATCGTTTGATATTAGAAATTTCCAAGGAAGTATAGATGGCGGGAAGAGCCACTTTGACTCGGCATATAGGTGGGACACATAAGACCATCTCGAAGTGCCGAAGACGAATCTTAAAAAATAGTTCATGATTCTCTTTAGTCTTTTTTTTTTTTTTTTATCATTATAATAAGTAAATTTGGAGAAGATTGTGTGTTCATTTACATATGTATGTATGTGTATAAAAAAATAAAAAAAAAAAAAGATTCTCTTTAGTCTATCCTCAAACTCCAACGAGAGGCCACCGTATACCACACAGCCATAGTCAAAGTAAGGGAAAATCAATGAGGAAACGAGGAGCTTGCGGATAGGTTGTGGGAGATGCTGACGAGAACGATGAAATAGTTTAAGTGTACCAATTGACCTTCTGGAGATATGAGAGAGGGAGAAGGAGATTGGTTGGTAATCAATAATCAAGGAAGGAAGGGTGGAGATGGATCTAAGGAGGGAGTTAGAACCTATAAGAATTGCCTGAGTTTTTGATGCGTTTAAGTTCAAATTATTCAAGCTTGCCCAGGCCCTGATCCTATCTAGGTCTTTCTGAATATTCATAAACGCTTCTAATAACTCAGTGGGCGGAAAGGAAAGATAAATTTGGGAGTCATCAGCATATAGATGGTATGAACAATGGTGGATTGAACTAAGAAGGTCATTGATGTAAGAATTAAAAATAATAGGAGAAATGCTTGAACCCTGGGCTACTCCATGAGACAAAGTGAGGAAAGAAGATAAGGGTTGATTCGGAATATTAACAGCTTGAGTCCTGTCAGAAAGGAAGGATTGGAACCATAGGATAGAACTATTGGAGAAGGATAGTGATTTTAATTTAGTGTAGAGGATAGAATTGTCTAAGGAATCGAATGCTTTGGAAAAGTCCAGCAGTACCAATCAAGTCAGTTTTCTTTCGTCAATTGCAGTATGTATGCCGTTTGTGATTTTGACTAAAGTGGATTGAGTGGAGAAACCCGGGCGAAAGCCAGATTGGAGAGGATCTAAAAGTTTGAACTCTTCGAGAAAATTGGAAATTTGGGATTGGACAATTCTTTCGAGGGGTTTTGACAGATTTGAGAGGATGGAAATTGAACGATAGTCTTTAGGAGAGGTGGGGTTAGGGATTTTGTTAATAGGACGACTAAGGCTTTTTTCCAAGATGTAGGGAAAACAGAATTTTAAAGGGAAAAATTATAAATGAATAGAAGAACTGGAAGGATTTTAGGGAGGCATAATTTTAACAGTTTGATGGGTATTCCGTCAATTCCTATAGAGTCGGATTGGGATTTCATTATGGAGGAAATAAGGTTCGTAGGAATGATGTAGAAAAAATAAAAATTGTCACTATTAAATGCAGATGATATAGATATAGGGAAGAGGCGGGAGAAATATTACTAGAGGAGGAGGATAAAAAGTAGGAATTTAAAGCATCAGGAGAGACTGGAACAGCTGTGGAAGATGATTTGCAAAGAGACAGCTTTCGGAGTAAATTCCATTTGGATTTGGAATCGGGAGCCGAGGAGAAGGCTTCATGATAGTAATTGGTTTTCGCTTGCCTAATCGTTGTTTGCGTCAAGTTATGGAGTACCCTGAACGCTTCGTAGTCATCTGCAAGCCTGGTTCTTCTAAAGCATCTATGGGCTGTATTTTGAATACATTGTAAAATTTATAATGTAAATTAATCCTACAAAATAATAATCAGTTGATATTATTTAATGACCAATTAAAAAATGTAATAAATGATATAAATAATGAAACATAATATTTTTGCCCTTATTTATATATCCCATCAAATCACCTTTACCCTTCCTTGTAAACCTATGGCTTCCTATCCTACAGTATCCTTTAATAATACCCTGCTTATCCTTGTTGAACAAATCCGGTACCTTGAACTCCACTTGCACAAACGTCTAACTTGGAATCCTCATAGCAGACTTAAACGACAAGAAACCACTCGACGTTTCTGATTACTCCAGTACTTAATAGACAAATGCTCTATGCTTTCAGTTAGTTACAAAAGACTCATATACATGACTACAACATACATGACCTATTTGGACTTACAGAGTTGATATTTGGGGGTCCACAAAGCCATCGAATTCCTCACGTATCCAATCCTTACAATCCAAACTCCTTCATAAAATCCTCGATGCTCCTTACTGTGTCACTAATAAAATCATCCATAAAGACCTTAATGTTCCTTATATTTCCGAATTGGCCCAATCCAGATACCTATCCTTCCATAATAAACTTCCGAACCCTCTCGTTTCTAACCTTGCTTCCTCCTCGATCCCTGTTACCCTCCAAGGCGTCTGAAAAGAAGACGCCCTCGCGATCTCCTATTGTAAATGCATTTTTTTTTTTAGAGTGCTAGTGGGTAGTTTCTCACTAAGTGTTTTCATGTTTTTATTTTCTGTTATCACATTTACTGAATGTATTTTTTCTTAATGCAGTTGTAAATATCATAAATAAATAAAAAATAATAAAAAACCCTTATTGGTAATATAAGTGTGTTGGTAGGGTGAAAGGGGGGTTGGTTAAAGTGGTTCTTGCCACCTTAACCAAAGCGATTTTGGATTAGAGTATTGATGCATTGAGAAGGATTAATAATGAACTGCTTACAGAAACTGGTCAATTTATATTTCATGATATGAAGTTCAGTATTCCTGAGAAATGAATCTTGACACTCCCAGTATAGCTAGTACTTGGTGGCTAGAGATCACTTCTCGATAACTATAATGGCAAAAATAATCAAAATGCCCTCTTGTCGGACTTGCTACCCACAGTAGTACCAGTATCTCATGCGTGTCCCCTTCTTTTAGTTGGTCTGTAGGTCATTTATTCATCAGGTGTTTTCTTTATAGCATAATTTGGACCATATTTATGTCAAGTTGTTTTATATTTATTTAATTATTTTTACTTCTCTAATTGGTATTTCTGTGAGTGAGACACTGTACTTTTATGCCCCAGGTTTGAGTCTAGCTGGGGCAAGTAATTATTTGTTGTGTTACATTAGCTGTGGATGAATCCTGGGGTTAAAAGATCCTCATGGGATGCACCCAGCCTTCATAAACTGGATACTTTAAATTAAATAATTAATCAAGGGGAAAAACCTAGTGGTTTGGAGTTTATTAACCAATAATTACAATTTGGTCTGACTAGATGGCAACATCTATCGTGTGGTTGAGCATGATGTAGGTCAAATCACTTCTTGGCTCAACTGTTGACCAAGAAACAATTCTTTCGTGCAAAGTAGTGAACCTGGGTTTTTTTTTTTTTTTCATCTAAATAATTTCCTTCAAGCATTTTTTTTTTATGAAAAAAAAAAAAGATATTTTGCAAATACCTATATCAGAAATTTAGAGATAGAGAAGAATATCAAACTCCATACCTTTAAACAGTTTAATATCTCTACATTGTTATATTGTAGTAAAAGCTGGATCAACCTATAGAAGCATTTATGTAGGATTAGGGCTCCAGAAATGAAATTTTTATGTAGAATATTTGGTAAAATCAGGAGAGAAAATAATATAAGAGAAGAAAAAAAGAACTCTTGATTTCCTCGTTAAAATCGACAATGGTAAGTCGCATTTGTAGAATTTGAGAAGATCGAGTATCATAAGTGTATGGAAGGTAAACCAATTGGCAGGAGGCCATGAGATAGGTCTAGATTTGGAGCATATACAGTGGTTAGGATACAAAGGGGGAAAAACCCTGTCGAGATAAAGGAACGAGTAAGGGACCAAGCTATCTGGCCATGGTGGCCGCAGGCTCCTCCACACTGAAAGGCTCAGATGAAGAAGATAAGGAAAAAAATTAATTAAAATTTCATTTGCCCCTATATTTACTCTAGATTTTACATTTTGTGTTTAAAGAGAAATTATTGATTTGTTCCTGATTCAATAAGTTTTATTTTTGTCATATGAATATTTAGTTATTGTTTTTTTTTTATTTGTTATTATTTTTTTAATAAATGGTTAATTTAAATTTCATGCTGTGACTTGGTTTCAAAAGAGCTTTGTTATTTTTCAAATCAATATTATTCGTTTTTACACTTATCTCTGCAAAACTATAAGTTTGGAGTTCTGATAATAGCTTGAGTATGATTTGTCTCTTACAACTCTGTAATTAAAATATGTTTAGTGATAAGCTAAGTATTAACTAGTGATTTATAATGATTTTTATTTTCAGAAAAGAAACCTTATCCAGTAATGGAAAATCATATTGAAGAGGACAAACAGATCATCGAAGGAGCAGTTCAAATTATATTGTCCAAGCCTGATCATAAATTTGAACTAGATGAAGAAGCTCTTGAATCATTACTCCTTCAACCTGATATAAAAGACCGGCATGTAGTAGTTGTATCTGTTGCAGGAGCCTTTCGAAAAGGGAAATCATTTATCTTAGATTTCTTTCTGAGATATATGAAATCAAAGGTATTAAGATTTTCATGGATCTGATCTTATGATCTGAAAAATTTTAAATCTGAATTTCATATCTTTCTATTGTTAAGTTTCATAAGTTACTATTGGATGATTCTTTTTAGTATATTTGACTATCATATTTATCTTTTTCAGTATGTTTGTAAAAATATTACTACAGATGATGATGATTGGATGGGACCTGAAAATGTGCCCTTAGAAGGGTTTTCTTGGCGAGGAGGTTCAGAACGTGATACGACTGGGATCCTGATGTGGTCTGAAATATTTTTAGCTACGCTGCCCAACAAAGAGGAGGTAAAAATATTTTGGCTATCTTTAATTATTTTGTACAGATCAGTTATGTATATTTAATAGTGAATTTTTTATTTTATTTAATTAACTTTAATTTTTAAAAATAATAATTTTACTTAAAAATTTATCTTCTAATGTGTCCACAAAATTTCTGTAAATGTTTCATTATTTGTTTGTGTTATTAAAACAGTACCTTTCAACATTTCGTTCCCTGTTGCAGAATCAAAAGCTGATTCAAGGTCAATGAAGCCAAAGAATATATTACTATCTAAATCTAAGGATTTATGTAAGGTGTTTCTCAAGGATATGTGGTCTAAGGTTTGCTCTTCTTTTCTGAAGCTAGGTTTTTTTCTCTTCAATGTGCTGCTTAAATGTTGTTCTCAGTCTTCTTTGTACAATGAGCGTAAATAGAATATATAAGCTACTGGTGAGATGTATATGGGCCTATAATTGGAACATTCATTTGGACCACACTTCATGTATAAGGGAATCACAACTTACATTACTGCTTTTGTAGTGTCCTATTTATGCCCCAGCCTTTGAAATATTATTTAGAGAAACCTTACTAGTTCCATACCTTCACACTTTCCAAATCCATACTGCCATAAACTTAAAAGTCAAGATTTAGCTGGAGGTAAAGAAGTCAAAACCGTTGAGGAAATAGCCAGATTAAGTTTGGGAATTTTAAGAATTAGTAAATATAAAGAAAAACAGAGCCAGAGAAATAAAGATAGACAGAGGACTCACATTAGTCTCCTCATGGAAAGGGTGTTGTTAAAGTACAAGCCATAATGAAGAAATAAGTGCAGTGTGAAAGCCAATGATCTTAAGGGGATCCTACACAGTCAATCGGAATTGCACTAATGACGTTCCGAATTGTCGTGTAAGGTAGTGAATGAAGTACTGATGGTGGTGCGCTGCGGATTTCCGAACATCCGGAAATCAAAGGTTCATTCACGAGAAGTTGAGGGGGGACCGAGGTAAAAGTAGTGGGGAGACTAACCATACTGCTGGATGGGTTAGGATACCTGGGCCTCACAACCATTATAAATTTCTGATTTTCATTATATGTAAATAGTTAAATAATTTTTCATATCCCTTGTTTATAATTTTAAACCATCTTCAACTATTTCTTTTAAATAGGCAAGTGGGCTACAAATTAAAAAAAAAAATGAGGAAATTTCACAATTTACTTTAGGAAAAAAAAAACTTTAACGTTGTGTATATTTATCAGTTCTTTTCCCATTTACCTCAACAAATTTATTATTTTCGCAATACCTTTCCTTAATTTTTGTAAGTAGTAGACTTATATTTTACTAACTTTTGTCAAAACGATTTTCTATGAGACTACTACTAGATAGGTTAGTTTACCTAGGTCTCGTTATTAAGTAAGTAGTTGTTTATATCCCTAGTCTATATTATTATTAACCATTTTCAACTATTTTTTCTTTAAATAGTCAAGTAGGCAATAAATTGAAGAGAAAAAAAAGTGGAAACTTCACTATTTACTTATAGAAAAAAAAATCTTTAACTGTTGTGTTTATTTGCCATTAATTTTTCCATTTTTCTTAACAAATTGATTATTTTCGCAATACTTTTCCTAGATTTTTTTTATGTAGTTGACTTATATTTTTCTAACTTTGGTCTAAACGATTTTCAGGCACTAGGAAGTAATTATTATATCTCCGTTTTTCTCTTGATGCACAATATTATAAATGACAATGTCCAAATAAGCATATCTATGCTGTTTCTTTGTTTACAACTGAGCTAAATTGGTATCAGCAACGATAAGTAATGATTGAACGTGTAAGGGTCTTCATGATCAAAGCGATCGCGGGCAATCTTGGCACTTCTTGTGACGTTCATTCGTGAATTACCGTGTAGGGTCTGCTTTATACTTACTTTGTTCATTCATAGAGCTAGTTGATATAATGGCTTTATTAGAACTAAGACCACAGCATGCTTCCAAAGATCTACATGGTCTATAGTGACAACCAATATTTGTATATTTATAACAGACTATAGTAATAATTAATATCTCCTGATGTCATTGGTCAAACTTTTCAATTCAGAATCTGAAACTTAAAAATTTGTCTTTTATTCATTATAAGGATAAAAAAAATCAGTATTGAGCTGTAAAACATAATCAAACCTTAATTTGTGATTTGGAGAAATGAAATTTGAGGCAAAATATTCATATGAAACTTCCATTGGAAAAAAAAAAGGAATCACTTAGTATACATTAGTAATTTTGTTTCTTATTTATATAATGCCTGTTATTATTTATTATAATCTTGTATTTTACTCTCTACAGGTTGCAATAATCTTATTAGACACCCAAGGCACCTTTGATAGTGAAAGTACTGTTCGTGATTGTGCTACTGTTTTTGCTTTAAGCACCATGATTAGTTCAATTCAAATATATAATCTTAGTCAGAATATCCAGGAAGATGACCTCCAGCATCTTCAGGTTGAAACATTTTTATTTTATATTTTAGAATAGTTATTTAAAGTTTATTATTTTTCAAAACTGAATTGTTTATAGGTCAATTGTAGATCAAATAGCTAACCTTATATTATTTATAAGGCATATTTATATTTATGTTTAAATGTATATTTATGTTTATATAAAAAATATATATTTATTTTAATTTTTAACTTTGTTTCACTTCTTTTTTTAATTTTTGTTGGTTGATTTTTTTTTTTTAGCTTTTTACTGAATATGGGCGTTTAGCTCTTGCTGATACTGGGAAAAAACCGTTTCAGAAACTTCAGTTTCTTGTTCGTGATTGGAGTTTTCCTTACGAAGCAGAATATGGCGAGATTGGTGGTCAAAAAATACTAGATAAGCGTCTACAGGTATAGAATATATCCTTTATAGCTTTTTAAAATGTATTTCAGGTGGATTGCTGACCATAATTTTCTGTTTTGAATTTGATTTTTAAAAATATAAAATAATTGTTCTTATTTATTTTATTTTTATTGTGATCATTTTTTTTTTCAGTTCAAGTTTAGAAAAGTTATAAATCTTGATTACAGAAGTTGGTAACAGAGAACTGTTTCTAATTTTGAAGTAATGTTATTCCCCTTCTCCAAGGTGTAAAGTTGCCTGTTTTACGGTATATTTTCAAAACTCCCTGAACAAGGTTGATAATATTATTAATTAATATTCTTTCTACTCGTATTTCAATAGTTTAAAAAACTTCACGGCATCACACGGATCCTTTTTCAAGTATATGCGTGTAAATCAGCATCGTAATTTTTCCGATTAGCGGCTACAAAAAAAAAAAATAAACCACGAAAATACTTTAAATCCTCGTAAAAATGTATTTGTTTAAATTTTAAGGCCTTCTAACCTTTTATTAAAAGTTTTAATATATCTCTGCCGTACCTCAGATTTTTTTCAGCCATTGAGATATCTTATATTGAGATAAACACAACAATATTCATCAATTAATTATAAAAACACTTCAAATTATTACAAACCTAAACATCTTCAATAAATTTAATAAATTTCTGTTTTGTTTTCCTTACAAGATACTTGATTAGACATCGACATTATGGAATTTGAAATACTATACCACATTATGTACATTAATTATAGAAATCATGCATTATACATTTGCAAATATTTTAAAAATTTATATTTTATGCTGTTACGGTCTTTAGTTTTGAAAAATCGTTTCCGCAACAAAGTTTGCCGGATGCTCAGTGGAGACGGCAGGATTCGCAAAAAAAATAATAAAATTAATGAATGGTCAATTAAATATTAATAATTTTCTAACGAGCGCCATGCTATTTAATTGGTTGAATTTGGGAAATAGCGAAAACCATAAAAAAATAAATAAATAAATTTAATATAAAAAAAAAAAAAAAGAAAAGATTAAGACGCGGAGTGAGCTACGGACTCGGAACCTTTGGGTTTTAAAACATATGTTAATTAACCTTCCTACTTGGTTAACCTATTGAACCTTCTTAATTGGTTAGTTATGTCTTTCCCTAATCCCTCGAATAGGGTTTTACAATGCCTTATTAAACCTTAAAAAAAAAATATATATATAATATATACATAAAACATGAAAACAAATAGAAGAAAAATAAGAAAATAAAACTGGCTATTATTAATACTAATGATGGATTTACTTATTTCTATTAATTTAAATAACTGTTAAAGGAAATGAAAATTATGAACAAGAAATTAGATTTATAAGAAAACAAAGAAAGGAAAATTAACTTTAATTATCAAAGAAAAGATTATAAAATTATTATAGGACTAAACATTAACTTACAACTATACAATATACCAATTACAAACATTTGGAAATAAAAATAGATAGAAAAAAAAAACTTATATCTACATATTTACAAAATCTCAATGCCGAGCTTTGTCCAATTTGCACATTGAATTATCTGAGGAATCGGAATCTTATTCAAACTAGCGTCTTCAATGTCTCCACAATTTATCTTCTCAAGTTGTGAAAATATTCATTCACCAACTTGTAAGATCAAGCGGCACTCGTCGCTGATGATCACAGGTTCTTGGAGAAGCAATGAAAATCCGGTGTACACCGTAAAACTAAAATATTTCACAACTGAAAATCCTTAGCGTGCCTCTACACTCGCGAGGTCCGCCATCTCTCTCTCTCTCTCGACTCGACTGTCTTTTTTTTCTCCCAATCAGCTGTTTCCTGTTCCACTGACTTAAAATTAATAATCACAACTAATACTTAAAACTAGACTTATTATAAACAATCGCTTATTATTACAACTAATACCAAATACTTAATTATATATTTAACCCTATTCGAGTTAATAAAAAAAACATATTATTATTTATAAAAACTAAAAATTATTTTACGAACTAATTTTTTTTTTTCCGTATTTTATTTTTCATCACAATGCTAGAGGTCATATTGGTGGTATTCTTGCTTTAATGACTATTATGGGAAAAAACGTGGAATATTTCAATTCATTAATTCGCCTATGTTACTCGAGTGCATTTATATAAATACAGGACTCAATGTTTTCTGCATTGCAGGCTAAAAATCGCCAAGATCTGACTTATGAAGTAACTCGGTTGTACTAAAGGAAAATCATGTGAATATATTTTGTAAATATTTTCTCTGTCTGTAATGTAATTATTTCAAATAGGAATATTCTCCTAAACAGCTTCATTTACTTCAGACATCTTGCTTAATCTGGAGGAAAAAATATGCCTCTTCTTGCATATCTTAAAGTAACCAAAGCCACAATATACTCTATTACCAAAAATTGGCACACAAAAGAAAAATAGTTACTGGTAACTGCCATTCTCGGATATCAACATCATAACTCAAAATCAAAATTAGTAAAGGTCTGCCCCTGTGATCCTCACACAATTTCATTATATATATATATATATATATATAAATGCACACAATTCTATTTTATGTGTGTGTCTGTACATAGATAGATAAATAGATGCAAACAGAAACCATATCTAGCCAAAAACTATATTATCAAAAATTTATATAATATTTATTCAGTATTTTAGTTAAAGTGTAAATAATAAAACATAAAATCTTATATAATAACAAGAATAAATATAATTATGATATAAAAGGGGAAATGCAAAAACTGAAGAAAAGGAGGAAGAAAGAAATAGATAGAAACACTTTGCATAGATACTTAAGTTAAAACTGAAACATTGGGAAATACCTTAAACATTCACTTAAATTCAATTAAACATTCAGATCTATCAAAATTCCATTAAAATGTAGTTTTACTATTGCAGAATACATGTTTGGTATGTGAAAAAGTATTTGAATAAGTATTTGAATAAGGAAAGGAAGACACATGGTGGATATTCCAGAAGATAGTGGAGCAAGCAAGGAATGTTTAAAAGTTCTAGTTCTATAGGAGGTTGTATGGGACTTGTTTTCTGTGAGTGGACTAAGGATTTTAGCTGTAGAAGATTGTAGATGTTGGAAGGGTGTTTTGGGATTCGATTGTTTAGTATAGGTAAGATTCAAGGAAATATTGACAGCAGACGGAAGAGCCTCATTAACTCGCCACGAAGGTGGGACTCATGAGACCATCTTGAGGTTTGTAAAACAAATCTTAATAAGCAGTTCATGGTTTTCTTCAGCCTATCCTTGAGTCAAGAGGCCACCATATACAACACAGCCAAGTGGTGGAAAATCAGTGAGGATATGAGGTTGTGGATGATGATGGGGAAATGATGAGATAACATTAGTTTCCTGCCTATTGATTTTCTGGTTATATAAGTTTTCCAGGAGAGGTTTTCATTAATAGTAATCCATAAGTTTTTAACTTGTAGATACCAACAGGGAAACTGAAAGTGATAGGATAATGATTTATAACTTTTTTTTATTATTTATTTATTTAGACATATAATAATCTTTCACATGGACAATAATTATATTGAGATATGAACACATTCACGCCAAATATACAGAAAACATAAAATTTACAAAAGTAAAATAATAATCAAACAACTATGAACATTAAACAGTAAAAAAAACCTAAAGATAAGTAAATTAAAAACAAAAACTCAGTCATACCTATATACAATCAGGTAGGTAACCCCAAGCTAGGCTTGTCCCTCTAACTATAGAGGGAAAAACAGGACTCCAAGAGATCCCTGCTCTACTCTCTCTACGGTGTCACTGTAGCTAACGCCAGTGGAGATTGAGCGAGAGCGCTTTACATACACTCACGTCTTGAGTGGAGAATCTGGCCATTGTCAGAACTCTAAGATATATACTTCAAAAGATCTCTGGGCCACTGCCGCTTCATCCTTCAAGGAGGATTGTAGGGATGAGTGGAACTAGATAGGGATTGTGCATGAGGATTTGGATGATTTGTTAGGTTCTGATGGAATTTGGAAAAATTTTCAGTGATAAGGTCTAGGACTAATGGAATAGAACGGAGCATCAACTATTGTTCGGAGGACTTTGGACTGAAAGGATTGGATGCTTTTGATGTTAGAAAATTTAGCTATCCCTCAAAGTTCAAGTCCGTAGGTCCAAATAGGTTTCAGGATTGTCTTGTATATCAGTAATTTGTTGTCAATTGAATGTTGAGATTTTCTATTCAGTAGTTTGTTTAGTTGGGCCATATCGTCTGTTAAGTTCTTGTCTTTTATTAAGTATTTGGGTTCCACATTAGTCTTCTGTCTTAAGAGAAAGCCAAGATACCGGACTTTGTCTGAAAAAAGAAGCTGGATGGAATTAAAGTGGACTGATGGACAGAATCACGCCGGAGCATGAAGGTAATGTGCTTGCATTTGGATTCCTTTACTTTGATGCGCCATTCAATCAATCAGGGAGAGGCGTCTTTGCAGATTTAAAGATACTGTTTCGGGATCTGAGTTGGATGATAGGATGGCCATGTCATCAGCAAATGTTACCAGAAAGGTATCGCGATGGATAGGGATATCAGCGGTAAAAAGGATGTAAAGGATGGGGCCCAAGACACTACCTTGAGGAACAATGCCTTCAACTGGGTAGGAATTGATTTATAACTAAAGGAGGAAAGATCACATTGAATCTGAGGAAGAAATTGGAACCTATAATAATGGCCTTAGTTTTCAATCCGTTTAGTCTTAATTTATTCAAACTTGTCCAAGCTCTGATCTTATCTAGGTCTTCCTGAATATTACTAGCAAATGCTATTAATAACTCAGAAGGAGGAAAAGGAAACTCTATTTAGAACTTATCAGCTTATAGATGGTGCAAAATGTGGTGGGTGTAATTGGACAGATCATTTATTTAGGAACTGAAAAGGAGAGGTGAAATCCTCGAGCCCTGGGCCTCAATTCTCGAATGCCGAGTGGGTTAACATGTGCACAGCACCGTGTGTTGCCCGGCAACCTGATAACCGAATTTTGAGATAGAAAAATAATTACGATTACAAATCCCAGGGCTTGGTGAGACTTTAAATTCGTAATAATTTCCCATCCAGGGAAATCAAGCTATAATTGTGTATGGAACAAAGAGATGACTGTATAGAGCTTTAGCCATGTTTTGGAGATTACGATAGTGTCATAAAAATAATGAGTAAAATATTGTAGCAATTCGTCATAGTGAGTAGGTAAGGATTGTGAATTAACATGTCAAGTGGTAAGGACACTACACATGTCGGAGAGAAAAAATAACATGGAAAGATGCTAAAATAATATACTGAATAAAATTTAGTTATGTCTTGTCAATATACCATTATACTAACTAGTGCATGTGTATCGTCAGAAAATTTATAGTGATTTATTTTTTATTTATTATTAATATTTGTTTATATTTAATTAATTCAAATAATTATATTTATGATCGTTGATTTAATATAGATATAAGTTGTTCCTAATATTATTTTAAAATTTATTTTCCTAGATTTCTCAAAAACAACATCCTGAGCTTCAGTCTATAAGAAAGCACATACGTTCATGTTTTTCTGATATAGGTTGCTTTTTAATGCCTCATCCTGGACTTAAAGTTGCAACTAACCCAAATTTTGATGGAAGGCTTTCAGGTAATCTCTCTCTCTCTCTCTCTGTCTATACACATATATATATATATATATATATATATATATATATATATATATATATATATATATATATATATGATATATTACTGTTTGACAAACATTATAAATAAATATGTTTTTTATTGGTTCTAAACTCTTTTTTACTTTCACTTACCTATATATGAAATATATAGTAAGGGACAGTATTGCTATTGTGAAAATTTTCGAATCTGAATTTTCAAAGGAAATACATGTTTTGACGTCTCTTAAGTCCAAATAACCAAGACACACAAAATGGTCTGTGTGTGTGTGTGTACATGCGTGCAGGTGTAGGTGTCTCTTTGTATGTATGTGATCAGTCTAACTCAAGAACAAAAAGTTATATGGAAGTGAAATTGCACATTTGAGGTTTGTATATACCACAAATGTTGCAGCAACTTTTTCATCAAAATCGGCTTACTGGAAGTGACACTTTATATCACAATGTTCTCAAAAACGGCTCCAACGATTTTGTTTGAACTCGGTGCATCATTGTATAATTGAGTGTTGTTTATGAATAAATAATAATATTTATTTTAACATTTGCTGACGTTTCGACCTGAACTTCAGGCTTTCATCATCAGAGTGACTCTATTCCAGCAATCTCTTCTAACAGCCCTGATTGAGGCCTGAACTTCAGGTCGAAACATTGGCAAATGTTAAAATAAATATTATTATTTATTTTTGACTGATCACCCCAACCATCCTTATCTTCATTATTCATTACAGTCAACCATCAACCCACAATTAAGTGTTATTTAATATCATTGAGGTTTTATCGCCCATTGATGTCACTTTACAGGGCTTAAATGCTTAAAGGCTCAACATGTCTTCCTCTAAAGTACCTTTAATTTGGTTTATTTTAAATAATTAACTATCTCTCATTATTAACAGTTACGAAAAAATGCTAAATATAAATTTTGAAAGAATTTAATAGTTGAAAAAAGGGAAAATGTTTATTTAGGTCGAACATGAATTTCTGGAAATACTAGTCAGAAGGTATACTTATAATATAGCATTTCCAAGTCAATTTCAACCTTTTCCAAGTCAAATTCAACCTTTTCCAAATCAAATTAAACTTTTTCCAAGTCAAATTCAACCTTTTCCATTTCAAATTAAACCTTTTCCATTTCAAATTCAACCTTTTTTTATTTATTTAATTATCTTTAATTTTTCGATGCGTGGGTCTGTTATCGTATGAGTAGTTTTTTAAAATAACCTCCTTTTTAAGATTACGTGACTGCGTTTCGAATTATTTAAGTTTTTTTGACTTATTCGATATAAGGGTGTATTTTTATGTTTCCCGATCAGTAAATTTTTAAAATGACATCTATTTTATGTTTACGCCACTGTGTTTTGATTTATTTAAGTTTTTAGAATTTATCCAATATAAAGGTCTACTTTTTTGTTTCCGGAGCCGTAGATTTTGAAAACGACCTCCATTTTAAGATTAGGCCACCGCGTTTCGACTTATTTGAGTTTTTCGGATATTTTTCATATGAGGGTGTATTTTTATGTATCCAGAGCTGTAGATTTTGAAAATGACCTCCATTTTAAGATTAGGCCACCGCGTTTCGACTTATTTGAGTTTTTCGGATATTTTTCATATGAGGGTGTATTTTTATGTTTCCGGAGCTGTAGATTTTGAAAATGACCTCCATTTTATGATTACGCCACTGCGTTTTGACTTATTTAAGTTTTTCGAATTTATCCAATATTAAGGTCTACTTTTATGTTTCTTGAGCCGTAGATTTTGAAAATGACATCCATTTAATGATGACGCCATTGCATTTTGACTTATTTAAGTTTTTCGAATTTATCCAATTTAAAGGTCTACTTTTATGTTTTCGGAACCGTAGATTCTGAAAATGACCTCTATTTTATGATTACGCAACTGCGTTTCAACTTATTTAAATTTTTAGAATTTAACAAGTATAAAGGTCTAATTTTATGTTTCTGGAGCAGTAGATTTCCCCCATTTTGTAAATGACCCAATTTAAAGTTTATGCCACTGTTTTGGATTATAAAAGTTTTTTTTTTTACTTTTTCGGTATAAGGATCTACTTATATGTTATCCGAGACGTATTGAAATTTTTCTAATCTTTAATATTTAAATTTATCTAATATTTAAGCTCCATTTTATGATTAAGCCGCTGCATCTTGATTAATTAGGCTTCATTTTGGATTTTTTCAATACAAAGTTTCATCAATATGTTTTCGAGTATGAATAAATAAATAAATATTATGAAGCTAAAGTAAAATTAACCACAGAATACAAACTAAAAAGCCGAAAAGCAACTGGTAATAAATTTAACCTTCCGTATTCAGATTTTTCAGCTAATTGTTCGAAATCTTATAATTTTGTGATAGGAGACCACAAAATTAAAAAAGATAACTAAAATTAAATTAAAAATGAGACAATACATATTTTATTTATTTTGATTAGATATTTTTATTTATTTATTGAAAAATAAATTAATCCTTCGTATTATGTTTTTTATTCGAAGGAAAAAGCAAAAACACTTAACAAAACCGAAACACAGTGGCCTAATCTTAAAATGTAAGTCGTTTTAAAAACTAAGGCTCCGGCATCATAAAAGTAGACCTTTAAATTGGATAAATTCGAAAAACTTGAATAAGCCGAAACGCAGTGGCGTAATCTTAAAATGGAGGTCATTTTCAAAATCTACGACTCCGGAAACATAAGAATACACTCTTTTATGATAAAAATTCGAAACACTTAAAGAAATCGAAATGCGGTGGCCTAATCTTAAAATGGAGGTCGTTTTCAAAATCTACGGCTCCGGAAACATAAGAATACATCCTCATATGAAAAAAATCCGAAAAACTCAAATAAGTCGAAACGCGGTGGCCTAATCTTAAAATGGAGGTCGTTTTCAAAATCTACAGCTCCGGAAACATAAAAATACACCCTCATATGAAAAATATCCGAAAAACTCAAATAAGTCGAAACGCGGTGGCCTAATCTTAAAATGGAGGTCATTTTCAAAATCTACGGCTCCGGAAACATAAAAGTAGACCTTTATATTGGATAAATTCTAAAAACTTAAATAAGTCAAAACACAGTGGCGTAAACATAAAATGGATGTCATTTTCAAAATTTACTGATCGGGAAACATAAAAATACACCCACATATCGAATTTGTCAAAAAAACTTAAATGATTCGAAACGCAGTCACGTAATCTTAAAATGGAGGTTATTTTCAAAACTAGGTACAGGACAGCATAATACTAGTCCCTAAGAAATCCGAATAGGTACAATAAATCGATATCCGTAAGTGAAAATTCTACTTAGGAGAGCATAATAATAGACTTTCATATTGGAGGGAGGGAGGGGATGGCCATTATTTAAAAAAAAATATAAAATTTACAAAAACTTAAAACATTAATTTGAAATGAAAACGGTTGAATTTGAATTGGAAAAGGTTTAATTTGAAATGGAAATGGTTGAATTGACTTGGAAAAAGTTTAATTTGATTTGGAAAAGGTTGAATTTGACTTGGAAAAGGTTGAATTTGACTTGGAAATAATTGAATATCACATAGAAATATCACACTGAAAAAATCTAAAATGTTAAAATAAATGGATATGCAACTGCGTAATCAAATTTTTTTTTGTATTTTTTAAAAGCTATGCCGTCCATAATATAGTAAGTGGCCTTCATTTCGAAAAAAATCGAAAATTGACAAAAATTCTAAAGTTGAATTTGAAATGGAAAAGGTTGAATTTGACTTGGAAAAGGTTGAATTTGAAATGGAAAAGGTTTAATTTGACTTGGAAAAGGTTGAATTTGATTTGGAAAAGGTTGAAATTGACTTGGAAATGCTATATATCGTTGGAAAGTGGAGAATTTTAGAAAAAACAATATCTAATATAAGAAAAGTAATGGTAGTAAAAGCAAGTAATGGTAATGAGTGATGATAAATTATAAATATTAATTTGTGAAAACTAATATTATTTAACAGAAATTGCATGATTTCAAAGAAATTAAATGAAATTTACTACCTAAATGTCTGCTGCCATCATCCATCAATCCCTCTCCCATCTCTTTTATCCTTTACCAGTACATAATTTCCTACAAACCTCAGCAATAACAATCCAAACTTCACTTTTTCCTGTCACAGTTGTCGCAGCATATTCCCCACCTAAAACAGCAATAACCGAACCTAACTTCATATCCTTTCTTAATTCCTTAGGACATCATTTCCTTATAGGTGCAGACCTTAATTCCAAACATCAGCAATGGGGAGCCAGAACCACGAACTCCCGCGGGCGAACATTGCTGTCTGCACTTATTTCCCACAATAGCAACATCCTTTCCCCTGATACTCCTCCATACTGGCCAACCGATCCTAACCGTAACCCTGATCTCCTTGACTTCTTCATTCACAAAGATCTAGGGCCGTTAAATTATTCAGTTTTACGGCTTGATGACCTTTCCTCAGACCACAGTCCGCTAAACCTAACTCTTTCCGCATCTCCTATCCCCAAATTATCTCCTCCCTCATTCATCGGAGGCCCTGTCAACTGGAACCTTTTCCGACAAACAATAGTAGATGCAATAGACCTCAGAGTATCCCTAAAAACCCCTCAAGACCTAGATAATGCAGTGAGTTCCTACACCACCTTGATCCAACAAGCAGTTTGGACTGCATCCTTACCACTTCCCTCCAAAACATACCGTAAAACGAATCCTTTGCCCCAAGACCTTACTGACCTAATTAAATCCAAACGCCAATCTAGGACCCTCTGGCAAAGAACCAGGCATCCTGATGATCGAAAAATATACAATTATTATTCCAAACAGATAAAAAAAAAACTAGCTTCCTTTAGATCCCAATCATACAACTCGTACCTCTCTTCCCTATCTACCGATGACAATTCCCTCTGGAAATTGACCAGAAAAATCCTTAAATACCATTCTTTTTCCCATCCCCTTCGAT